TCTTTCCCTCCCTCATGCTTTCTTCATCTCTATATCTCTTTCTTCTCCCCCCCCCCATGTCTTACATATACGTCTCTATTCTTTGAGACTCTGAATCTTGAAGGAGATGGGGGATTCATAGGGGTCATGGAGCCCCTGGGAATATAACTGATTCGCTCTGAGTACACGCCCAGTTTGGTGCTCACAGTTCTGGCCACAGCACTCAGGGCAGCACGCCAGACTGGCTATTTATGCCTGGTGACCCGCAGGCATTGCTGCTCTACTGTAACATACAGAGCTGGTACAACCATCCGGTTCTGTAAACACACACACACACACACACACACACACACACACACAAGCTGCATCTAATGGCACTGCATGAATATTAACAGCCTCTTTATTGGTAATAATTAGAATATGAAATCTTCTCCCAAGTCTCCATTGTGATGCTGATCGTCGTGTAAATAAATTGCCAGTGGTTATTTCATGTTTTAAATGGCCACAGATTGACTCAATTCATAAAAATGAACGACTTCCACTTTAATTATCAATCTCCTCTCGCAGCCACTGTGCATTGAACGTGTGATTTCCTTCCTTCAGCTCCCAGAGTGACCGGAGATTAGCTGGTGCAGCTACCAGAGCAGGATGTCAATATGGCTGCTCATCTGCTCGTTCCACCCAGACCTGACAGCTTCCGGCCCTTCTCGCCTGAGTCTCTCGCTGCTATCGAGCGCCGCATCGCAGAGGAGGCGGCCCAACGGCCCAAAGGCGAGAGACGGCCTGATGATGATGACGAAAACGGGCCCAAACCCAACAGCGATTTGGAGGCGGGAAAATCCCTGCCCTTTATCTACGGAGACCTTCCGTCCGAATTTGTGTCCGTCCCGCTGGAGGACCTGGACACCTACTACAGCAACCAAAAAGTATGTGTGAGAAGATTTTAAAATGGAAGCTTGTTATTTGCGTTTAGACGGCCAGCAGGACTTCAGTCTGGTGTTATAACGTGTATCATTCTCTGTAGTTACATAACACCTTGTGAAACATATTTGAAAAGAGATTGTCGCAGATTGTGTGCACTGTAACCACAATCCATTTTTCTCTGCTTCAGACCTTTATAGTATTGAATCGTGGGAAGGCTATATTTCGCTTTAATGCTACGCCAGCTTTGTATATTTTGAGCCCCTTCAATCCATTGAGGCGAATCTCTATCAAGGTCCTGGTGCATTCATATCCTTTTTCAGCTGAATGGATGTATGTAAGCATCTAAACAACGTATAGATTAGTCTCCAGACTTTTCACTTGCAACATACATTCTTGTCTACATCATCTTATTTTGATAGAACACTTAGACAGGACCCAACATCTGACAATCTGACCAGCATACATACTGTATAACGTTCAAAAGTTTGGGTTCTAAGATTTTTTTAATGTTGATGAAAAATGTCTCTTAAGGCTGCATTTATGTGATCAAAAATACAGTAAAATAGTAGTATTGTAAAATATCATTACAATTTAAAATAGCTATAAAAAATAAATGTTTCTGGTTTTTTTTAAACTATTTTAGTTATGGAATTTATTCCTGTGATGGCAAAGCTGAATTTTCAGAAGCCGTTACTCCAGTTTTTAATGTGACATAATCTTTCAGAAATCATTGTAATATGCTGATTTGGTGCTCAAGAAATGATGTTAAAAACATATTTTTTTTAGATACTAATACGTTTTTTTCAGGATTCCTTAATGAATAAAGAGTTCAAAAGAACAGCATTTTTTATGAACTGTCACTTTACTATTACCTTGACCAATTCCGCTTCTGTAAGTTGAATCGTTTGCTACTAAGTGCCTCAAAAAATATTTTTTTAATATCTTTCAAATATTTGAAGCTACAAGCCTGGCAAATGTTTGGCAAATCCAATAATTATTTCTTCCTCTTAAGCATTGATAATACAAAGACAATTACCGTAGGTGTGCTGTCTGAGGCTGCACTTGACATTAGGTGTAGTTGGGTGAGTATACATGCAATATTTGTGTGTGTTTGTGTCTTTGTGTATATTCCTTGACTGCTGCTCACAATGTTCAGTTTTGTGATCATGTGCACAATCTTGACCAACTGCTCCTTCATGACCCTCAGCAATCCCCCGGACTGGGCCAAGAATGTGGAGTAAGTCACATCATTAACACCGTTATGCATAATTTTACAGTTTAATCTTTTGACAAAATTGTCAAAATTGTCTTTCTCTTCCAGGACAATGAACTAAACATATTGATGATCTTGTATGGACATGATTTTGTCCAAAAAAGTAATCTGTAGATTGTGTCCTCTCCCCCTTATTTATATATTTATATAACAGCTGTTACTGACTAACAAAACCGTGTAGCAAATCAGGGTTTTTTAGGACTTTTAAAATTAGAAAATTATAAATGTATAAATAATTTAATAAATAAAATAATTTATCCTAAAATAAAAAATTTTCTATTTTTATTCGGTGGAACAAAACATGCATAGTTTTTATTTTATAGTGACCAACCATATCTGTTCATTTCTAAAAATGCAAAAATAAACACCAAAAAAGCATCATAAAATTGGTTTATACTCTACAGTTCATTCTTGTGCACTGTATTCTATGTTTTCTAAAGCCATACAGTAATTTTGTGTGAGGAAATGACTGAATTTATGTTATTGTTCAATGATATTCTTCCCCTCTAGTGAGCTGTTAACTCAAGAACTGCTGTGAGTAGATTGAGTCAGTGAGTTAACCTTGTTGAACAAAATGGAATGATTCGTTCATGAATCATTTGGTGCCTTTTAGTGAACTGGATCAATTGGATCCTCAAAAGAACATTTTTTCAATGGTTTCATTTTTGAATTCAATGCGATGCAGAGTCATTTCAGTAAAAATAAATAAATGAAGTCTATTCCTTGCACATACTGTAGTATCATGGTTTCTGAAGACTTGGAATTGACTGTAATATAGAGGACAAGTTGTATGAACCAACCTATGGTGTTTTTTGTTTTGTTTTGTGCAGCTTAACATATATCTTGTCTCCTCTTTTTTGTTTCATAGAAATACACTTTTGAGAATAAGTACATCCTTTTTAACTTCAGCCCATCAGCATTCCTTGCGCTGACTTTTTTTTCCAATAGGAAGTTTGTCAGCACAGCAAAAAAAATAGCATCATTACATGGGATCTTTAACACTCGATTGTTTCAATTTCATACAACTTATTTGTTCTTAGTGGAGTTTGTTTGTGTGCATTCAGGTACACGTTCACAGGGATCTACACCTTTGAGTCCCTGATTAAGATCCTGGCACGGGGCTTCTGCGTGGGGAAGTTCACTTTCCTGCGAGACCCCTGGAACTGGCTGGACTTCAGCGTCATTCTGATGGCGTGAGTATCTCTGAAGACAGATGCTTCTCATGCTTATTATTTTGTATTAAAAACATAAGACAAATGAGACCGTACACTGTTTTTCCTGAATTGTTAATGCGAGTTTGCTCAGATAGTTTTGGACACATTGATGAAGGAAAGCTGGTGAATCCATGTCGGTTGCGGTTGTGTGCGTTTGAGCGAGTGTGTGCGTCATTTGTGGTAACTCTCTATTTGATTCTACAGGTATGTAACTGAGTTTGTAAACCTAGGCAATGTGTCAGCTCTCCGTACTTTCAGAGTGCTCAGAGCTTTGAAAACTATCTCAGTCATCCCAGGTAAGGGATGTGTGTGTGCGCGTGTGTGTATAGACGTGCGCATGCGTGTGCACGTAAACACAGGTGTCAGTCAGGTGTGTGTCTCTGTGTGACGTTTCCCTCTGCTACCCTGTCCTGTCCTAACATGCGTGCGTGTGTGTGTGTTTGTGCGTGCGTGTGTGTGTGACCCCTCCCCCTCCCTACAGATATGTAACAGAATTTGTGGATCTGGGCAATGTCTCAGCACTGAGAACCTTCAGGGTTTTACGAGCACTCAAAACTATATCAGTGATTCCAGGTGAGGGCTAGCTCACAGGCTGCCTCTCTCTCCATCTGAGCTCTCGCTCACTCCATCCCCTCCTCCGCTGGCCTCTCTCTCTCATTCTGTCGCTCCCAGCGGTCAGAGAAAGCAGGAATCCGCTCGGGCGTAAAAAACGGGATTCCAGGCTTTTAAAAACACATTCTGTAGTTTTTCTTATATCCCTTCTGCCGGGCTCTGCTCTGTTATTTCCCAAAGACCATCACGCCTTGGGAAAGGTCTCCCATCATGCCTTGGGAAATAGACAACTGGGCATTTTTGAGTTGTGTTGCTTTTTTTGCATGAGACATTGCTGAAGCCTATAGCCTGAGATAGAGAACTTGAGACCCTCTACTCTTCTCTTCTCCTCTGTTTGCTGTTTGAGTTCTATGTGCATGCGCACCGTCGGCCGTGCCCGTTGTTTGCCTGCTGCGTGTGTGTGTGTGAAGCGCACACACACACACACACACACACACACACACGCATGCACAGGCAACACTCGCACTCACTGTTTTACACTGCATGATTTAATGTTGTTTATACGCAATTTCACATACATTTATTCAACTAACATGCGCACTAATATTTAAAACCATGTTTTAATCACCAAAAGCTTCTGATCTTTGCTTTCTTTTTACTAATTTATTATATCTAAAGCAGAAAGTTTTCTAAATTTGTAGTGTTATTCTAGATAAAAAAAAAAATTTAAAAAAAAGGATTGAAGTAACTATATTGTTAAAATTATAATTAAGGTAAAATTAAAATTATAATTAAAATTATTATAATTAATAATTGTCAGATTATATGGAATAGTTCAGCCAAAAATGAAATTCTGCCATTTTTTGTCCGTATTCATCCTCATTATTCCAAACTAAACCTGTATGCTGTTTTCTAAGATAGCTTTGTGTAAAGAACAAATCAGAAATTGAGTCTTAATTTAAATATACACTACACAAGATTTTCAAGATACTAAACACTAAATTAATTTTCTTTTTCTGTTGTCACACAAAGCTGTCATCTGACCTCAGAAGGTTTGAAATGTAGTACACCAGTTGTATAGGACACTTTTATGGTGCTTTCAGGGTGTTTTTTTTTTTTGGAGCTTGACAGCTGTGCTTGCTATGAACTGTCACTGTGTAGAATAGAGCTGTGTCAATTTTCTTTTTGTGTTTAACAGAAACAAATAACAACATACAGGTTTGGAATGACATGAGGGTGAATAAATAATGAGTTTCTGGGTGAACCATTCCTGCAATTAAAAAAAAAAAATCAGCAGGATGACAGAAAGAGTAACACTTTAATAATAAGGTGCATTAGGTATTATGAACTAACAATGAACAATAATTTACAGTATTTAGGTTCAGGGTAATTTATAAATGCACTGTTGTTCATTGTTATTCATGTTTGTGATAATGTTCATTTCACAAAATATCTATAACTTTATCAGTAAACTTACAAATTTATATTAACCTAAATGTTGTAAAAGTTAATATAGCTATCATTATACATAATGTTAATGTATTAGACCTTATTCTAAAGTGTTACCATAACAGCCTGTCCATATCTATATAGCTGTACTGACCATTCTCACATTGTGTTTGAGTTGATGTGTGTATCGGGAGTGTTTTTGACCACCGTTGCGTGTTCCTCAGGGCTGAAGACTATCGTTGGCGCTCTGATCCAGTCGGTGAAGAAGCTGTCAGACGTGATGATCCTGACTGTGTTCTGTCTGAGTGTGTTTGCTCTGATCGGACTGCAGCTCTTCATGGGAAACCTGCGGCATAAGTGTGTGAAGATGCCAGAGGTCAATGTCACTGAAAACCTGACCGCCACGCTGAACTATAGCACTGGTTTAGAGCTGCACAGCACCTTTAACTGGACAGAGTACATTAGTGATGAGAGTAAGTGAAGAATGTGTGCTTCTCTCTCTATGTGTGTGTGTGTGTTATTGAGATGCTCGTTGACACTACATGTCCTTGAGGACGTGAGGAATGCTCCACTGGCCCAAGAAAAATGAGTCATCTAGTTCTCAAAGCACTCTTACGGTTGTGTGTGTGGATGTGTGTTGCCTCACGGTGAGTGTGGTTTAAAGGCTAGCCTTTTTTAGACAATTTAGACAAATGCACTTCCTTCAAGCTATAGGATTCAGGGCTAGAAACATACTGTACATCTTTGTGTGTATATATTTATTAGCTTTGTATCTTTATATTGTTTCTTGACATTTAACTTGTGCCTTTCCCCTTTTTAGGCAAGTATTATTTCCTCCCAGGCCGCAAAGATCCTTTGCTATGTGGAAATTCAAGTGATGCTGGGTGAATATGTTCTTTTAGATTTCACATGCTAGTGAACAGAATATAGATAGATTAGATGTTGTAATATAAAGAAAGGTTTTTTCTTCAATTGAAATATTGCAGGTTTACTTAATCCAACATTTTTTTAGCCAATTTTTAATTGGTTATGTGTATGTAATGCTTTGTTTCTCAGCCTTTTTGATTCTAAGCTGGTACTGGTTATAGGTAACTATAACTTAATTTTAAAGGGGTGGTTGATTGCGATTTCACTTTTTTAACGTTAGTGTGTAATGTTGCTGTTTGAGCATAAACAATATCTGCAAAGTTACGAAGCTGAAAGTTCAATGCAAACGGAGATATCGTCTTTTAAAGTTTACAATACAACTGAAGCACATGCCGCTGAGGTGACGGGCGGGACATTTAGACGCGCACTAGAGGCGGTTTAGCCAGTCACAACACACTGGGCTAGCTAACCAATCAGAGCCCATCACCTATTTCTGAGGGAGGGGCTTCATAAAAACAGGAAAAGATCAGCCCGTTTCTCAGAGAAGGGATAGAGCGGTGTGGAATAAAGGTAAATTAAGTGAAAAATAATGAGCTTTTTTTTTTTTTAACGAAGCATTAACTCATGTTAGACTGCACCCCATAAACACAATCAAGCCTAGAAAAAAAACAGTGAACCACCCCTTTAACCCCTGGGAAAGAAAGGTCTTTTCAGTTGTAATAATATTTCACAATATGGCAGTTTTTACTGTATTAAGTAAAATTTAATTTAATTTACTGATTAAATACAAAAATCATTTACATGATTTTTGGTTCATTGTGATTTCACTTTTTAAACGTTAGTTAGTGTGTAATGTTGCTGTTTGAGCATAAACAATATCTGCAAAGTTACGAAGCTGAAAGTTCAATGCAAACGGAGATATCGTCTTTTAAAATTCTGGCAGTTTAATGCCTACAAAAATGGCTGGTAGGGACTACAACTTCCCAGGTTCGTGACATCACAAACCCAGATAAACCCCGACCTCGGGAAAAGGCAGCAAAGGGGGCGAGGCCATGCTGCGCTGCTAGAGAGAAGAGGAAGAGAAAACGTCTCCAGGTTACGTATGTAACCATGGTTCCCCGAAGGGAACGAGACAC